AGGACCAGGTTGAACCACAACAACCACGCATTGGTCGTCGAAACCCAACAAGGAACCGACAACCTCCGAGGTGTGGAACGGGTGGACATAGACATCATTAAAGTTGGATTGTAATTTCCTGGATTGTAATTCTGTTGTTGTTCTTTTTTATTCGATCTCCTATTTTGTTATTGTATTTTATTTTTATTTCAAGTTGTTCATCTCAATTAATGTTGTTTTTATTTAAAGTTGTCATTTATCATAATATTTTCTTTTTTAAATATTCTATTTAAAATTAATTTTATTCAATTTTATTCTTTAAATTTAATTTTAAATACATTTTTATAATTTAAAATTAATAATTATTTCATTAATTATTTTTATTCTAAAAACTTAACTAAACTATTTTATTTAAAAAATACTAAAAATTTTCAAAAATTTATAATTAAAATATGAATATAAGAAAATTAAAAATCTGGAAAGAATAAAAAAAAAAACAAGAAAAATGAACCAAAAACGAAAAAAAAACGAAAAAAAAAATACAAAACGAAAAAAAAAACAAAAACAAAAAAAAAACAAACAAACAAAAACGAAAAAAAAAACACTATAAAAAAAACAAAAACGAAAAAAAAAACCAAAAACGAAAAAAAAAAAAAAACAAAATATGCAGTTGAGAAATCGGTTAACGTACAACCGATTTCTCACTGCATTATTTTCTAACTTTGAGAAACTGAAGGTGAGAAATCGGTTCCCCCTTAACCGATTTCTCACCTTAAACAGTAAATGGGTCATTTTGGTAAATAAAATGGGGTGAGGTTATTCAGAAAAAAAAAAATTGATATATTAAAAAAAAAAAGTCTCATCTTTTAACCATTTCAACGTTATCACTTTATTCATCAAATACAAATGGGTCCAGATGATTTGGTTAGTAGACTAATTGTTTTATTCTTTGGATATCAAGTTCCATTCTTATACATAAAAATATAAAATACTTTAGTCATTAAATTATAAAATCTTCAGTTTAACTTTTGACTTTATAAAAGTATTATTTATTCCTCTTTTTATCCTATATTTATTATGGATTAGACCGATTTCATTTTAGAGATAAAGTATAATAATAATTATTAATAAATATTATAATTAATTTTAGATTTGATATTCTTAAAATGAAAAGATCTTATTTTAAGATAAAATATAGTAATAATTATTAAGAAAATTAATGATAAATATTATTATTAATTTTAAATTTTATTATATGTATTTGATTGTGTCGTTAATTTTTTATTCATTAAAAAAATCTTAGAATATATTAGACTAATTCTTCTTAAGTTTCATAAAATTGTATAAATACCATATATTATAGTAGCACATCTTCTAAGTTACTTTAAAACTTTTAATTATTTAAAAAATATTACATTACGAATTGCGACCCCTTAAAAGAGAAATTAAGAAGAAAGTGTTAATATAATTTCATAAAATTTTAATATGTGAGTATAATTTACTCTAAAATTTAAGATAAATAATAACAGTTTAAAAAGTTAGAGATGAAAATATTTTTTATAAAAAATAAATCCACGAACGCAAATCTTTGTGAGACACAGCACCTAAACTAAAAAGGAGTGGTTTGAAATATTGGACGGTAGCATAGCACTTCAAAGAAATTTTGAACTGAAAAATTGGATGTGATGTGACATGATGAATGTGATCCCATTTACATTAATGCGCATCATATCACATCGTGTATTATAAATTATAAATCCGCAAACTCTTTCTACATTCTTCCAAACACCGCCATGAACTTTTTCTCCTCCGTCTTCTCCGACGACCCCGACTCGCCGCCGCCCGAGTCGGACAGCCCCGATCCGCCGCAGAGCGACACCGTTTGGAGCTTCGGCGGCCTCATCCAAACCCTAGCCTCGAAATCCGAGTCCGTCCTCGGGAACTACCGCCGCGATCTCGAGGAATTCGGCTCCGGCCTGCGGAAGGAGACGGCGGTCATCCGCGAAGCCGCCTCGCGCGCCGTCATGGACCTCCCGGCGTCGCTCGACGCCGGCGCGTCGGTGGCGCAGGAGTCGCTGGAGTCTGTCGGCCAGGCCATCGACGACATCGGCAGCACCGTGTGGAATTCGACGGCGCAGATAATCTCTCACGGTAGGGAAACTCTTTTAGCCTCTGATTTCGATTCCGATTCGAGCAATTACGAAAATAGTAGTAATAATAATAATAATAACAATGTTGGCAAGAGTGGTAGTGGTAGTGGTGATTTGAAACGGTATAGTAGGTTTGATACGTTGGTGCGTGCGCTTCAGAGTGATGAGAATACCTATTTGGAGGAGCCTGAGGATTTGGGGAATTTCAATGAGTGGAAATTAGGGTTTGAGTTGGACAAGAAAGGTGAGGAGATTAGGGGTTTGATTGAAGAGAATGGGGTTGTTGAGGAGATTTATGAGAAGGTTGTGCCTTATAGGACTGATGATGAGAGTTTCTGGAGCAGGTATTTTTATAGGCTCCATAAGCTGAAGCAAGCTGAGGATGCCAGAGCTAAGCTCGTGAAGCGCGCAATTGCTGGGGATGATGAAGAGGATTTGAGTTGGGATTTTGATGATGATGATGACAACGACAATGATGGGTATGAGCCTATTAGGGTTTCAAAGGAGAAGGAGGAAAATTCTGCTGATGTTGGTGCCTGTGGTGGTGTTGTTGAGAATGTTCAAGCTGGGGAGAAGGATTTGGAGATAGAGGATGGTGGGAAGGGTGTTGAGAATGTTCAGGCTGGGAAGAAGGAATTGGAGATGGAGGATGATGGGAAGGGTGTTGCTGCTCCTGAATCTAAAACGGGTGTTGATGATATGTCAGAGAATGTGGCATCTAATGTTCCTGCGAATGTAAGTGCGGATGGGGATAAGTTGGATGTCAAATGTGAAGAGAAAGAAGCATCGGAAGTTAAGACAGATAATGATAACAATGGATCTTGCAAAGACAGTGATATTTCAGTTGTTTCAACCCAGCCTTCAATGCCTGGGGAAGAAGACATTGGCTGGGATGAAATTGAGGATATTGAAAGCAATGAGGAGAGTAAAGAGGATGCCGTTGGGTCTGCCAATAGGATTGATTTGCGGAAGAAGTTGAGTGTGGCAGACCAAGATGAGGATCTTAGTTGGGATATTGAAGATGATGATGAGGCTGTTAAATCATGACCAGATTGTGGGTTCAAATCATTGGTCCTTCAATTTTTAAAAACAGATTGCTTATTAAGTGTATAATTCTTTTCTTTTAACTTAAAAAATGTAAATAAACTGTTTTTTATGCCTTATACACGCTTAAGTCAGAAGGTGGACACTAGTTGAAAGTTTAATTCGTAAGTTCATGTGGATTCTTCATCCTCTTTGAGGAAGGTTCAGGTTCTTGCACCGTATTCGGTGTATATTTTTAAAGGAAGGCTTGTTCAGTTATTTGTTGTTCCTATTTTTAAAGGATAACATAATCATGTCATATGGAGCCACCTTATTACTGATATATCTGTTCCAGCATTGACTCCTCAAATGAAATTACTTAAACTACTTATACCAGAGCTGCACTTCAGTAGGAATTTATTTAGTCGAGTTAAGCTTCCAGCATCATGTAATTGTTTGCATTTACCTAAACATGGTATGGGATATGCGGTGGGGTAAGCGTTTTGTCTCCCTAAATCAGGGACAGCAAAAAAATCCATACTCCAATATACGTCACAATATTAAACATGTGTCTCTAAGTAAATAGGTGGCTCTTGTTTTTCTCTTCGATCCTTCGCTTCTGTTATGAAAGTTCTTCAGTATTGGGGAGGGAGCAATATGATTTGAAGAAGTCTAGATAATATACTTTTTTTCCTTTGCTTTAAATTTTTCGTTTACATATTTCAGCGGAACCCAACCCTTTGAATCGGTTTGGATTGGGTGATTTTGCACCAATCTTCTTATTGGTGTGTTGAGTTGTCTTTGTAATGATTTTGTTTCCTTGATTAAATTTTGAATGTCAGATTAGTATTGTGATGATCTTCCGTGGTAGAAATTGTGCTCGACAATAAAGATGTATTCGTTCTTGTTTATGGAGCAACCAATATGTATGATATAGGTTTGCTTATGATAATAAATTAACAAGAACAAGCCATTTCTCTTTTACAAAAACCAGCTGTGATTACTGTGTGTTTAGAAACACATTTAAATCACGTTCAGCAGAGGTTTTCCGAATTCCAAATTCAGTTGATTTTCCAAACACTAAAGCGTCTAGATGCACATTTCGAGAATAGAAAAATATACGTTCAAATGGTTAAAAACGTGAGAGCAATAATTAAGTTTCTGAGAGATGTAGTGCTGTTTGGGAAGTAGTTTGTAAGGTTGAAGTGCATATTCTCTCCATGATACAAATCAGAAGTTATAGCTTCTAATTCAATTTGACGCGGTTTTTGGACCTTGCTACATACTTTAGTGTTGGACGGGTTTTCAAACATACGAAGGAATTCATTAACAAGTAATTGTGTTATAACACGTCTTGCAATGGCTTATGGACTTTCTTACAAGCTTCTCTCTCGTTTTTTGTGAGAATTATTTTGTAATTAATATCCTACTTGATGTCCCAACAAACTAGTTTGTTACGTGTACTAGTGCAATTGCAATTCATTGGATTTTCATGGATGATCAAACTTTATTTTGGTGTCATTTTCCAAAGTTATATAATAAGTTAACTACATATTGGAACAAGAAGGGTATAGGTTGCGTGTTATCATTTTAGAAACTTTGCTGACAGAAATGTTTGCTCTATGTGACACTTGGATGCTGAATGCGAGTTACGAGTTATTACCAACTTAATAGCATGGTCTATTAATATAAGCGATGAAATAGTATGTGCCAAGAAGACACAATTGGTGGGGAAAGCTGTGCAATGCACGGGTTAATCTCAACAAATTTTTTTAATTATAAATTTATATGTAACTTTTAAATAAATTAATCCAATAACCGCAACAACTGATCCATTCCTTAGAGCATATGAGTTGGTCAACTAAGTGATTTGTTTTTCCCTAACCTTCTAAGAAAAGAAATTTAAAAGAACATTTCAAACCCTAAAATCTGCTATCCCAAGTTTAACTGTTAGTTCAGTTGTTTTGAACTCCTTTCTTAATCTCAATCATAAAAACAACTTAAGCTTTTGCAAATATATTAAAAGTAAATTAGTGAATTCAAAAGTAAGAAAAATATTTAAAACAATAAAAGGTATTATTTACAATATATTTAAAATTATAATAAATTATAAAATTATATATAATTACCTTAATTATATTACTTAATTGAATTGTGCATAAAAAATTATCTTAATTCAAAATATTTTTTTTATTAATTTAACTTTTTATAATATTTTTTTAGTTTTGTCAAAAACATTAAACTAATCAGGATTAATAATGAGGATTAAAAAGGAATACGTAAAGAAAATGTCAACTATCTAAATAAAAATTTAAATTAAAAGGACTGACAGAGGATGAAGTTATATATAGAGACTTTACACATATTTAGGCAAAGAAAAAATGATTAAATACTTTAATCTTACACAATCGAAAAAGATACTCGTGTGATACACGGGATTAATTTATTATTTTGTTAATCAATTTAATTAAATGAAAATATCGTAATTTATAATATAAAATTAAGATTTATGCACTAAAATTTAACGAGTAAATGAATTTTAGTTTTATATAATCATGACTTATATGTTAGTTTTAGTTTATGAACTTTTTTATAACTTGAATTTTTTTATTGATAATAAAGGTGACAATGAATCAAACTAATTCGAAAATAATTTGAAACTCGATTCGATAATCAACTTGTTGAATTTGACTCATAAATTAAATAAGTTAAATTTGAGCTCTGATAAATAAATGAGTCGAACTTGAATTATGTATTTGTTTAACTTGTTTGGTCCATGAATCACTCAAATATAAATATATAATTTATATAATTAACTTTCTATCTAATTTCAAATTGTTAAAATTTGAAAGAATCTTTATAAATCAATTATAAATTAAAAATAAGAGAAGTTGACCCTTTAAAATTTCATGATTAAAGATTAGATCTTTTTTAATAATTTTATATAAGATGGAGTAATATTTATTTATAAATACTTTGGTTGTAATTATATTTTTTTTAGGAGTCAAATCTTGTAATCTTTCAATGTTAATAAAATAAACTATTATTTTTTTAAATAATTAAATAATTATTTCATCTAAAATCTATTATTAAAATAAAATTTTAGAATTTATTTGATTTATGTAATTCAAGCAGACAAATTGAATCGAATTGTAAATTAGCTTGAATCCACTTAAATTTGAATTGAAAAAATAGTTCTTATCAAACTCGAATGAAACTATAAAATAAGTTAAATATTAGTTCCACTCAACTCGAATGATTTTTCATCCTAGTTGACAGATTTCGAATAGTAGTGTTATTGTTACATAAGCTCACAAAGTCTAAATGGAACTGCGGATGCGATGGAAAAGTGAACCATCAACTTAATAGTTAAAGTAATAAAATTATATTAGTAGCATTGGAGTATTAGAAATCATGTTATATACACTCTAAAGTGTTGCAAAATTCTTTAAATTAGCCTCTCAATATTAATACAATACATTAACATAAAAACTAAATCGATGAATTTTCATTGTTTTAAAGATTATTTATATAGTTCGTTACTTAAAAGGATCAGATTGATTATTTATTTAAAGAAAAAAAATGTTTGTGAGGAAATTTTTAAAAGAACTTACTCGATTATTTTTTATTTATTAAGACTGTCTTGAATATTAAGAGACTTTATAATAATATGTTCAACCGAGTTAGGCTCCTTATTATTTATTGAAACAAACGATGAGTTTTCTATGTGTTTGTGTCGTTAAGCATACTATTGCCCTGTGCAGTAAAAGCTTTCAAACTTATTCAGCACCTTAGCATCTGATTAAGTAGAAGACAAATAACATATGCTTATTTGCGAATAAAACTTTAACAAAAAGAAGATCAAGAGTTTTACTTGAACAGATATAAGCTCAATAAATCTCAAAGCAAAGGAAAAGTATAAAGAACAAATGTTCAAAGCTTGCCATATAAAAAACAAGGGTATTCCTAGACCTAATGATTATTCTTATTCAATCAAAAATCGATACTATTTGCTTGAGCATAGCTTTTTGTTCGAGTCTTTTCTTGTCATGGTTTCGCAACATACATTTAGCAGTACACGAGAAGAGTGCACGTGCCACGTGGCATTATTGGGTGTTTGAGCTCTTTGAAATAGAAGCTCCATTTTTGGCTGATATCACGAAAATGTTCGCTAGCAGATTATAATTCAATCTTAAAAATTTTAATATGTAGTTTGAAAGTTCATAGTGAATAAAATTTTCAATGGATAACTTGGAAACAATGTTTTAAAAATCATGGCCATGAGCTAGTGAATCAGGAGTTGAATCAATAGATCATTTATTCTCCAATAAACTTTCAGTACATAAAAAACTTGAGCAGTTTACGGCACAAATAAACGTTTCCAAGTTGTCTTTGTTTCAAAGTTCCAAAGTTGTAAGCTGGAGAAATATTAGCGAACATATTCTTTCCAACACTCTTGTACACATTCTCTGCTATTGAAATTTATGTAGATTTCACTAAACATATAGATAACCTTCCCCATTCGACGAGTCTTAGTGGGATACACATACATCCAGTCGATAAAAGAGAGTATATTGCTATAGCTCCACATGCAATTTGGCAGTGCACCAAAATAACAGTGGGTTTTACACCCCTGAGGAAAATTAGACGATAGCAACATGAGAAATGTGTTGACACAAGCAAAGGGAGATTAGATTATTACACGAGTGACGCAAGCATACATACAATTGTAAATCTTTAAATTTCATGTAAACAAAGTATATCATAAGCTGCATTGGATCATAAGAGAAGCAGAATGCAGTAGTATTATAAAGAGTTTGAATGAGACAACATTAGTGAACCTCAATTATTTGCCTCCCTGAGCATCCTCAAGATGGAAAGGAAGAGGTTGAGGATGTCGAGATAAAGAGTGACAGAAGCCCCAATGTACTCATCATAAGTGAATCGCTTTATGAGGTTGTCAGTGTCGTACACAATATATCCAGAGAATATCATAGCCCCAACTGCACCGTAGATGGCATGGGCCGTAGGCCCAAGAGGGAAGAACATCTGCAATACAATACAATACAATACAATACATGAAATGATAGGAATTAGTGATTAGGGAGGAAGAAATGAGAAACGGACCTGCATCATGCCGGTGAGGAAGAGAGTAAAGAGGGAAGTGAACAAAATTGGGCCGAGGAAGGTGAAATCCTTGCCCCTCTTGGAGGCCCAAAAGGCGTAGCCCGTCAGAGAGGAAACAACGGCCGAGGTCAAAATCAACGCCTCCAGCACAATTTTCCCTAAACAAAACCAAAAACATTCATTTCATATCAACGATGTGAATGAAATTGAACAGAACAGAGCAGAGACGAAGACGAACCGTCGGTGTTAGCGCAGGTGACTCCGACGGTGGAGCTGATGGAGACGGTGAAGAGTCCGAGGAAGATGTAATTATGAGGATGCTTCTGCTGGTACTTGAGGAGAGGAATCAAAACTGCGAGCGAGATGAGATTTGAGATTTGAGATTTGAGATTTGAGATCTGAATAGGGAAAAGTAAAGAGAAGCGTGTGTTTGACTTACATATGAAGGGAAGGAAGAGGAGGAAGAGAAGGAGGGTGGAATTTCCCTTGAGGAGATGGTTGATGGGAGAATAGAAAACGGTGATGAGAGAGACGAGCGTGGTGAGGAGGATCTGAGCGGAGAGGATGCCGTAGACCTTGCGGATGAAGCCCCATCGGAGCTGATTCTCGCCGGCGCTGAGGCCTGGGTAGAGGGTTTCGCCTGATTCGAGGTCGAATTCCTCGGTCTTCGCACGTGTGTATGGCTGTGCCTCGAACATCTTTGGATGATAAATGATAATGCTATGCTTCCACCACCACCAACCTCAAATACGCCCACGCTTCATCTCTACAAATAATTAATAATAATGCTTGTCTAAATTACACACAAAAAAGTAACCATTCATCATTCCACAAATTAAATGACTAAATCAAATATTATATTATAATATTAAAATTCATATTAAATTAATTAAATATATATAATCATAAGAAAACCAATCGGTGCACAAAAAAAATCATTAAATTTGTCACCATGCGTGTTATTCCTGCATTCAATTTTTTTTAATACAGAGATATAACTATTTTTTATTAGTTTATCCCTACAATATTATAGTGATACTTTCCGTTACATTTCATGTTTAAAGTGTGATACCATTCAACTTCAAAACTTTTTTAATGAAATATAATAATAAAATAACACTTATTAAAATTTAAAACTTGCTTCCAAGATAAAATGATTCACATATCTTAATACATCATATAAAACCTCATATACTTTAATTAATAAAAATTACTTTTGAAAAAAGGAAATAATTTAAGCATAAAACTGTTTCTACAAATCGCAACACTCCTTCATAGTCTCTTGTGATGTCTCATCCCTTAATAATTATTGTTCTTATTCCCTATCTAATTACACAATTATGATAACTATAGCTCACTCTTCATTCCTTTGATTATTGCTCTAGTTTTCCTCTCATGTTTCTTAAATCCTCTTTATAATCGACCAAACTCTATACACTCACATGTTTTCGATATTATGCTCGGTGCTAAGAGGTTAGGGACCTCTCTATTGTATTGAAACCCAACGTGATGTCTCCCACACCTAGCATGGAGAGAATAAAAACATCTATGGAAGGATTATGCTCGGCAAGGATGAGGTCACACCTGACACAATACTTTTGTAAAATCAACATTAAATGGATCATGACAAGATATTACTCTCACCTGACATCAAGAGGTCGAGGACTAGGGGTGTGCAAAAAATCCAAATTGATTCAAACCGATCCATATTGAAAAATCCAATTCATTTTGAAAAAAATCCGAACCAAACCACTTTATAAAACCGGTTCAGTTATCCGATCCATTTTTACAAAGTGGATCGGTTCGATTCGGTTTGGTTTTTAAAAAAAACCAATCCATATATGAGTAAAAAGTGGATAACTGCACCACACCGATCCAATTTAAAAAAAATTGATCCGTATTTTAAAAAAACTAAATCGACCCACTTATTAAAAATGGATCAGTTAACCGATCTACTTTTATAAAACGGTTCGGTTCGGTTTGGATTGGTTTTCTGAAAAAAAAACCAATCCATGAATACTCCTATCGAGGACGTCTCTATGGATCCTATGCTCGACACGACACTTCCCATGCCTAACATGGAGAGGGAAGAGCCTTTTTGCCCTCGTCACACCCAATGCCTTGAACTTAAGCTTGGTGTGATCACAAATTTTGCACTTCAAAAAATTGCATTCCAACTCGACCCTTCCAATTTGCTCTTAACACTTATTACTCCAAATCAATCAATAAAAACCTCTTAATTCACTCATAACACAATTATAAACCACCGATTAAGACTTGATCATTCAAATCATATCAAACCTTCAATTTATACAAACCCTAGCCCTCAAACAACTAGACATATGACATATCACAATCCAGCATCATAAACATGAAAATGATAACAATCTATCATCATAAAACAATATCAATCTCAAAACATCAATCATCTCAACAAACATTCAATTATAAGCCGTAAGGAAGCTTAGAGATCGCCTCATTATCTATACCCTCATATGTGCCCGAAAGGTGATACAAAAATGCATTATTTCTTAACTTAGATGACAATCTCTAGAACAAGAAGCACGATCTCCACAATTTGAAGCTACTCCACACGCTCCTCAGGATTTTCCTTAAGGATTTCCTTTTAAGGTTCTCTTATGGTTTCAATAAACTAATATATATGACCTAATTCTTCCTTTTTTTTTATTAGTAGGCTAGACTATGGGTTGGATTTCTAAAGTTCAAACTCATAAGATAACCCTCTAACCCACATTTATTTTTACTTATTTTAATTAATAAAAGGCCTTTTGTTTATATTATGAGCTCAACTAAATAAATTAATTAAATATATATTATAAATATTATTTAAGTAACTATTTTTTATCTATTTTTTGAAAAACAGGATGTTAAACTGTGGAAAAAAGATAAATACTAGAAGGATATTAAATAATGTCAATAAAAAGAAATTAACACTTTTTTGAAATAGTGAAGTAATATCAAAATATCTTATGAGTGTAGATGAAGAGTTAAGAACAAAAAGTACAAAGTATTTTTATACTAATTCAGGTAAATCACCAAGATTATGTCCAATTCTTGATTAATCTGATCAAGTTTTACTATCTTTTACAAAGATATAAGTATTTTTTCTCAAGTCACTTTTGGCTCAACCTAAATATTCTTTGAACAACAAAATATTTTCGTGCTTCAATAGCCAAGTATTATTTACAATAAAGTCTCTTCAGGCTTCAATAACCAAGTATTTTTAACAATAAAGCCTCTCCAGGCTCCAACAAACAAATATTCTTTAAAATCAAGTCTCTTTAGACTTCAACAAATAAGTATTCTTTACAATCAAGCAATTTTAGACTTCAAGCAATAACATATAATTAAAGTTGAGAAATCACTTTTTATTTTGTCTTACCATCAATACATGATACAACTAAATTAAGTACAAAATTTTTTACTGAAAGAAAGAATATAAATTTTTACAATTATTGCTCTAACTTCTTTCTGAATCTTCAAGATTCTTTTATATAAGTGATTTATGAAGAAGATCGTCGCAAATCCTTGAGCATCTCTCATCGGCTTGTTTCGTTTATCTTTGTCTCAGTTAATTATGAGAAGAGGTGTTCGTGGTACATTAATTGTAACCATTAAATGTGTTTCACCAAGTTGTCAGAAATGACTTTTTCTAAGATTTTGCATGCTTTGAAGGATTTGCTTGTCCTTTCTCTAACACAAAGCATCTCTTCGTTCATTTTTAAAGTAAGTACTGAATAATCTTTTTATTCCAAATATATATTAAATGAATTTGTCTTATAGATGGAATAATTCATTTGAAATACTACACATCATTATAACTAATCATCTATATTGATTTGTCTTATAGTATGGTCTGAAAGATTTTTCTCTAAAAAAAACGTTTATGTTTGTTATCATTAAAATTTATATCCTAAAGCATCCAATATCATATTTTGATCTATCATAAACAAACATAGATTAAACTTCAATTATTAGTTAAAGAACACAAGTATTAAATGTCTTGTGTTAATATTTTTAGTAAAAAAATAATATTACTCATTTAAAAAAAAAACTATAAGATATTTGACTCAGACCTATATAACATGACATCAATAAAAATAGTTTAACACTTTACCTTTGTCATATTCCATACATTAATGAAGTATGACTCACTTTCAAGATGTCATGATGGTAAAATGGTAAACATCAACAAGGATCCACTATAATTCTTTAAGTTCTTAATAATTAGATTTTTTTATTCATATAAATTATTAAATAGATAACTTTTTTTCAATGTTTCATAAAAAAAAAACCCCATTTCCTTTTTTTACAAGATAGATGAAAAAATTTAATTTGTTTAACCAATTATCCAATTCCTTTTTTTTAATTGCTCATTATGTATTATATACAATAAGTAAAATATTACATGTTATAAAAGTTCTAAATTGGAAAAATATCAAAACAAAGATTATTAGTCTTTTATTTTTTAAGATAAAATATTTTATTTATTTTATTTTTAATAATTAATATAATATTAATTTTTTTAATGTTAATTATACTCTTATATTTTACTCAATTTTGAATTAATATTTACGCACTTACAGTTAGACTTCATTTATTGTAAAGTAAAAAATAGAAAAGAATATAATAAAAATATCAAAGTTATTTTTTTAAAAAATATTATATTTCTGGATTCTGTTTAAAATTTTTAAACAACACTTAAAGATATGTGTTGGTATATTTTAATTTTAATTTTATAATATTAACAAACTATTAAATATTGTGTTATTATATTTTTAATTATGTTTTTCAACACTTCAAAAATAATCTAGTTAATATATTTTTATTTTTTTAATAATAATAAATTAGTAAATATTTTCTTATTATATATTTACTTTTTTTTGTCAACACTTAAAAAAGAATCGAGTTAGTACATTTTGATTGTCATTTTATAACATTAATAAATTATTAAATATTTTCTTATTATATCTTTAATTATTTATTGTTAAAACTTAAAAAAAAAGTTGAGTTAATATATTTTTATTGTTATTTTAAAATATTAATAAAATATTAAATATTTTATTATTATATTTCATTATTTATTGCAAAATAAGAAAAATATAAAAAAAAATATATAACACTGTAAATTGATTTTTATTTACCAATTTTAATCTTTTTTTTTGTTCTTTGAAAAAGTTTTACTAAATTGATTTTGTAATTTATTTGAACTGGACATGTTATTTGTTCATGGATTTTTTTTATATGATTGGTCAATTTGATTCAATTTTCAAAAATTCACTCTAATACAAATAATATAGTTTTTCTTTGTCAACATTAATCAATTTTACAGAACTACTAAAGTTAGCCTAGTGGTTGGGTGGGGAGGGATTGGAGTAGTTAGTAGCATGAGGACCTAGGTTTAATCCTCATTGCGATCATCTTTGTAATCTTTTCTATCTTTACTAAAAAAAAAAATCAATTTTACAGCCCATTGGTGAGTTCCATAGTCAATTAAATGTAACAATAGATAAGTAAATACTCTATAATCTTTGTATTGCCATATTAGTTTTTGAAAACTAAAAAATTATCAAATAAGTCTCTTAAAATGTAATTGACAATTACATTAGTTCAATATAAAAAACAATTGTTGAATATATATATATATATATATATATATATATATAATGTTATTTTGTTGAAAAAAGGCTTAAGAGAAAATTAATTGAATTATTTTTTATTTCAAAACAAATAACAACTACTACTTGAATTATAATTAAAAG